GATTTTCAAAAAAAAAGGGGGGGTTTATCACTTGGGCTATTTATTTGCTAAAATGAGTTCCCAACCTACAGATGGGATGCAATAAATTAGCTTGGGCTTCTCGTAAGTTTCTTATAGGCTACCAATTCCTTCCTCTGGCCGTTATTTTGCTGAAGCAAATGCAACGAAAATATTTTTGGCCTCATTTACATGAAGTTCTCATTCTATTGCTCTACTTCAACAATAAAAAATAAAAAGAGATATTTTTTTGCAAGACAATTTCATCAATGAGCCGCATAAAGCCCATGCGCTGCAATTCCGTCTAACAAAATTTAATCGTAGGAGATGCATTGAAGCCCGATCCACTCAACGTTTTCAAAAAAAAAAAAAAAGAGAGAGAGAGAGAGAGAGAGAGAGAGAGAGAGAGAGAGAAGAGTGGTACTACTACTACTAGTGAAGCATTTCGAAATATCCATCAGCAACTGCGCTGCGCGATTATCAGCGGCCGTGTTGACCAATCCCGGGAAGTCTCGTTAATCAACTCTCACATTCATGTTGACCGGCCCCTGGTAGTCTTACTGCCCAGCTCTTAGTAGTCGCACAGCTCGACCTTCAGCAGCGACACGACCTAGCTCAGCAGCCGCAAAGCCTAATCATCAGCAGCTACTTTGGCTGGCTCCCAGCAGTCGCGTTGCTCAGCTCTCGCCGGCCGTGCTACCCAGTTTTGTTAGTACTTGGGTTGCCTAGCTCTTTCTAGCAGCTATGTATCTCGCCTTTCAGCGGATATACATCCATCTCTTCCTTTCTTCGCCTCCTCTAAAGAAAAAAAAAAGGGGGGGGGGGAAGGGTTGGTGTAACACTATGCAGAAATGATTTTTATTCCGAATGGGCAGAGTTAAAGTACATGAAGAACTGACACTATGCATGATGGTGCATCCCCGAGGTGACATTGGTATTCCGGATCGAAAGAGCAACCCCGTGGTTCAACCCCTGGTAGTCTCGTTGCCCAGCTCTCAATAGTCGAGCTGCTCATCTATCGCTAGCAGCTCGATGCTCAGTTCTCAGCGACCCTGATGACCAGCTCTCGACGGCGGTCTCGCTACGCACCACTTGACAATAGCTACATTATCAAGCCCTAAGTAGCACCGCCACATAGCTCTCCGCAAGCAGCCAAGACAGCGGGGCATGATTTATTAGTACGACTAGCGATGCAGCAAAGCATCAGGTACCATTCCGCTTTAACCCAGACTTATCACACGAGCTAGACACATAAATTGTAGGGTGCTACGCCCAATCATGCGAGGTTCAGTACCCTCGCCTTGAGTCGTCTGGCTTCCCAGCCCGACTCCATTATAGCGGCAAGCTCCGCATGCGAGGTTCAGTACCCTCGCCTCGAGTCGTCTGGCTTCCCAACCCGACTCCATTATAGCGGCAAGCTCCGCATGCGAGGTTCAGCACTCTCGCCTTGACTCGATTGGCTTCCCAGCCTGGGTCCATTACAGCGGCAAGCTCCGTATGCGAGGTTCAGTACCCTCGCCTCGAGTCGCCTGGCTTCTCAGCCCGACTCCGTTATAGCGGCAAGCTCCGCATGCGAGGTTCAGCACCCTCGCCTTGAGTCGTCTGGCTTCTCAGCCCGAGTCCATTATAGCGACAAGCTCCGCATGCGAGGTTCAGTACCCTCGCCTCGAGTCGCCTGGCTTCTCAGTCCGACTCCGTTATAGCGGCAAGCTCCGCATGCGAGGTTCAGTACCTTTGCTTCGAGTCACCTGGCTTCTTAGCCCGACTCCATTATAGCAACATGCTCTGACCATTCCACGCGATGCTCTCCCGCGCGATCTATCTACGATCACTAGCAGCCAAGCCCGATCCATTTTCACGATGCTCTCCCGCGTAACATCTCCATGATCATTGGCTGCTAAGCCCAAGCCACTCTCTTAAGTCGCGCAACATAAGTCGCGCATCGTCGCGCACCATAAGTCGCGCTTCACAAGCTTATTCCACACCATGATCTTGGTGCTTCCTCTCTCACAGTCATCATGGTTCTCTTGTGCTCGGACGATCGATGAAGTGTTATCTACATTACACCATGCTATAGTGAGGATACTCTCCAGCAAGAAGGTCATCCCGACAGTGGCCCTGCTACCTACGACCCCACAGCACCTCTGTTTCCTGGCTCTCGGAAATGGTCTCGCTGTGCAACCCTACCTGTAGCCTCACCGCGTACCCCACAACATCTCTGTTTCCTGGCTTTCGGAAATGGTCTCGCTGTGCAACCCTTCCTGTAGCCTCGCCGCATACCCCACAACACCTCTGTTTCCTGGCTCTCGGAAACGGTCTTGCTATGCAACCCCAACCTATAGCCTCACTGCCTATCCCTCAACAATTCTGTTGTCTCGCTATCGACAATAGTCTCGCTACGTGACCCTCGCTAGCAACCTAGTCGCCCAGCTCTCGGAATCTATTCCTCGCCTCCTCTAAGAAAGGGGGGGGGGAGTAGGGTTGGTACGCCGCAATCCAGCTAGGTGTAGCCCAAGCAAGAAATACCCTCAAGACGGTTATTAATGCATACTATGTAGATGGTTACCGGTGACATTCCATCTGCGCATGACTACCGCAACAATCACGTAGAATAACGGTCTTAGAGATTGTATAGCAAGGTTATGGTTCTTAGCTACCCCGCCTCGATGCCTTGTCGACATCAATGTCGCGTAACACTCTTTAGCAGCCTCGGTCTGCATGATCGCAGCAACAATTACGTTGCATCGCACCGATTGGCTCGCACTCCTCTCAATGAAGGAGTATCAAGTCATCTCAAGCTATGCAAGCAATGCTTGGCTCATCACATAACCCCACGGCTCTCGTGGGCGAGGTTCGGTCATTTCTCTTTATTATTTATTGTATTGGTGCTTTATCTAGTCTGATCCGATTGTCAGCAACCCAATCGCATCAGACTAGGGGGACTTGACGACGCACAGTTTATATGACTAGTTCCAGTCCGATGTCATTGGCCGCGTACCAATAACACCAGACTGGGGGGACTTGATGATATATGGTCCGTTAGCATGGCCCAGACTGCTCTAGCGCGCCAGCCTGGCGTGGCGCGCTCCTGCCAACCTTGTCGGGGACTCCCTAGCCAGCCTCGTTGGGGACTCTCCTGTTGGTTTATATGACTAGTTCCAGTCCGATGTCATTGGCCGCGTACCAATAACACCAGACTGGGGGGGACTTGATGATATATGGTCCATTGGCATGGCCTAGACTGCTCTAGCGTGCCAGCCTGGCCTGGCACGCTCCTGCCAGCCCTGCCTGACGTTCCCTTGCGAGCCTTGCTGGGGACTCCCTTGCCAGCCCTGCTGAGGACTCTCCTGCTGGCTCGGCCAGGCGCTCCCTCGCCTGACACTCCCTTGTCATCCTATCCTGGTGCGCGCCCGCCAGCCCTGCCTGGGGCGCGCCCGCCAGCCCCGCCCGGCGCCTCCGGGCGGCCTCGCCCAGCTCCTTGCTAGCTGGGCCTGAATTGGGCTGGCCCAAGGCCTGACCTAATTGTCCCCTATATAATGAATAATATCTCCTCCATGGAGAGGGATCTTTCCCCGGGGATCTTCCCCCATGGCTCAGCCGCCACCATACTCCGGCCGGGTGGCTCAGCAGCCACCCGCCGCCGTCAGCCACCGTACACCACCACTAGCACCAAGATGGTTTTCTCCAGCTATGGAGGACCATCTCAGATCTTCCAGCTGATCTAACTTGACCGTCGGAGTCCGCTCCCGGGGAACAATCCCTGGGTCGGCTCTAACGACTTTGCACTGTGATGTCCAGATCTCCGCCGCAGCAGAAGACCAGAAGGCTCGCCGGAGGCCGATGTCGCATCACAAAATAAATGTAATTTTTGTCTCATTGACATTAGTCCAGATGCACCAATCTATTTTTATTCATGAAGATGACATATTTTATTCTATCATTAGATTTAAAAAAAAGTTATTCACTAAAATGGCTATGACTTAGTATACCAAGACAACTAAATTCTCAAAATTTATCACAAAAATCATCTATTTTGAGAAAAGATTATTTTTTCTAACAAAACTCTTAAGAACTTTAGCTAGTGAATTTGTGAAAGTACTCACAATCGCAAACTTTCAAGGTAATATTCACTAGTTTAAGGCTAAACGGTGTCCTACCTCGTACGACATGCCTATTTGGCATTTAATGCAGACGATAAACGCCACCACCAACCTATTTTTTGTTGGTGGCAACCCTCAAAGGTAAACTTTCACCAATTGCAAATTGTGAATGTTAGGATGTTTTGTTTCCATTCTAGCTATTGATTGGTCATTGCAAAGTTAAAATTTTATTTTTATTTCAAAGGTAAAAATATCACCACATCTCACTCACAAACAAATTGTGGCAAAAATGGTCGCTCACCTGGAAAGTCATTTTTCATTGGCCCAAGCATAGAAGCATAGAACTGGATGTCCAACAACGATGGGTTGTGTATGCTCTATATAGTAAAATACTATGTGATGCCAATGTGTCACACTTTTACCATCGACAAAACAACCACCACACCCTTTAGCCTAATATGTTTTTATACGAGTTGAAAAAAATCTCAAAATCAGGTAAATGATTTTTTTTTGAATATATAACTTCATAAAGTGTAACAAAAATTGTTAAGATGTAGTATTTTTAAGTCTTAGACTAAAGGGTATGATGTTGTTTTGCCAATGATAAAAGTGTGACACAAAGCCGTCATGTAACATTTTACCATTTTTCCTATTTTTGCTTATGACCATGGTGTGGTGATGTATTTGCTTATGATTTTTCTTTTTTCAATTTTAAAAATAAGAATTTTTAAAATAAAAACTACAATAATACTAATTAAAATAAAATATAAATTTCATTTAAAATCCTAGAAAATTAAAACAACATGAAATTTAAAGAACTACATTCTTGAAAATTTAGGAAAAACATAAAATTAAAAATACTTAGAAAAAGATAACATCGAAATTTCATTTGCGTTGAATATTCTACTTTTCCCGAATTGACGTTTTGACTGCCTTCTCCGTTTCTTGATCTTCAGGGTCGAGATGCCTAACGTCTGGCATTAGCAACGGATTAACCGTTATTCGGACGGTTTCTGCCATATGTTTCGCCAAGGTTGTATTTAATTGTGTCATTTGTGCCATCATTTCCTCTTGCTTTTGCTTTGTCCCTTCCCATGGGACGACGAGAAGCTTCAATTTCTTCAATGTCATCATTATCATCATTAAGATCAACACCGATGTGACCATCCAATGACACTTGTTGTGAACTCGAATATGATGACGATTTGCTTCTTTTTGAAGGCCTCGAAATGTCTTCATATTTTTCAAATTCTCTCGACCGAACATGTAACACTCATAAAATTCATGAATATTTAAACTTTTTCAACCAACACAAAAATCATAATTGTTTACATTGTAGTTTTCAAAAAAGAATTTAAACATCAGAGTAATCCCAAAATCATGAAACAAAACATGAGGATGTGCACGATCACGCCTTCGCCTTCCCGTGATCCTATGAGGTACCTGAAACATAATCCAAAACTGTAAGCCCAAAACTTAGTGAGTTCCCCCAAAAATACTAATACATAGCAAACAACACAAATAGAATAACAATATGCAATGAGTCCAAAGCTAACAGACTGGATTACCACTGAGCCCACAACATAAGTCTGGCTTGCCCCCTGGGCCCACAGATTATGTCTGGCTTGCTCCCCTACCCTCAGTACGAGTTTGGCATGTCCTACACGGCCCTCAGCTCGTATCTGGAATGCTCATGAGCCCTCAGTATGAATCTGGCATGCCCTTCCTGGCCCTCAGCTAATATTTGATATGCTCCAGGGTTTGTTGGCTACAGTATGGAGCAGTACAACCTTAACCCAACCTACACAATATGTCGACATATAACAGATAATATCATATTCAGATAACAGGCAGTATCACAGGTAGTCTTATAGATCTACCAAACTAGCATATCAAAATTAGCATGCATATCTACTCCATACTCAGCATACATAATATCAGGTTATCAAACCAATGGGCCGCCCTTGGTGCCTTCGACCCGAAAGTATAATGAAGAAGACTCACCTCACAAGTTGGACAAAACTGAAAAGGTCCGACTTCGAATCTCATATCTCTGCTCGAAACCTACATCCACCAAGTAACCATTCCATCAAAACCCAAATATACCCAAAATACCCTTAAAAGTCAAACTTGGTCAACCATGGTCAAAGTCAAAGTCAACGGTCAAGTTCAACAGTCCATGTTGACCCAACACGCCGTGTGTCGATGGTAAACATATGGTCGGGAAAACCCCAGCCAACACGCCGTGTTTTCCCCAGCTTAATACATTCAGCTGTTCCTTTGATTCTAGGGACTCCAAAGCTCAGATTAAACTCAAATGCTATCTAAAAGGATAAAGTTTCCAACTTTATCCATTGGAGCTACTCCAAGTGTTCAAAAACCCATCCACAAGGCTTGAAGTTCCAAGGGCTTAACCATTAAGCATAAAATCCTTGAAATCTGAAACCCAACCTTTCCAGAAGAGATTCTAGCATCAAAATCAACCCAAAGGTTGGTGCTTTATAGACATGCATGTCCAACGCATGTCTTGAACCCAAAATGGGTCAAAAAAGGAAATTATGACCTAAACTCCATGCATGATATCAAAACTCGGCTAAAGACTAGATCTAAGCCACTATAAGGTCACCTTGACCTGGAGATTCATAAAGTTGCAAACTTTATGAGATCCATCCATTGCAACATCCAAGAATAAGGAGAAAAAGGAACAAAACTCAAGATCTAGCTACATAGAGGAATAAAAATCGGATCTTGGACACTTACAAAGGTCCAACAAAGTGCCAAACTAAAGATGAGGGCTTTGCTTGCTAGATCATTGCTTCCTTCTTCCAACTTTCTTCTTCTTTTGCTCCAAAATACCACACTAGCTCACAAATGAGAGGGAATGATGATTAGGGTTCACAAGGGTCGATATGGGGGTTTGGAGGCTGATAAAAGATCAGCATTAGGGACTTAAGGAGATTATATAGGGTGCAAAACCCTAAAATTTAGGGTTTCTCATCCAGCCACCAACACGCCATGTTGGTCCATAAAAATACGCAATCCAAAAGTCCTTCAACACGTCGTGGTGAGGCTTCCACCATGCCGTGTTCCCAAGGAAAAACATACATGAATGAATAAATCTCATACCTGGGAATCATGATGTTACAGAACACTTTTTTTAACAACATCCTAAACATGCAAGAATTTAAAAGGTTTTTGCATGTCTTCTTGGAATGTCTCATGTATTTTTTCGCAACAAATTGGCCTTACTTTCCCCGCTAGCCCATTGATTTACATAGCTTGCGTAGACTTTGTTCCAATGTGTGACAAGTTTGTTTATATTAGACCATTTTGAGTTACATTGGTCACTCGTCCGATAATCCGGATTTCGACCCATACCCCTACAAAATCACTCCATAACACACAACCAAAATTGATCGCATTTGGTTCTTCCCGGTGGCGTTATCTTCCGATATGTTGACCAATGCCTTCGCTAATTCCGTTTCTTCTTTTTGACTCCATCTTCTTGGATCGACCTTCCCTTTTTTTTGGTTGAACTTCTTGTTCGGGTTTAGAATCGTAAACATTTTCCGGTGAGGGTGTGAAAGGTGGTTGGGAATGGAATTAGAATTGAGTTTGTGTTTCGGTTGGGGGTGTTGGTCTTCATGTTGAGATTGGAATTGTTGTGGCATTTGGAACGACAAATAGTAGCTAGGAACACCACCTACAAACATTTGGTTATGTTGTGACATTTATGTCCGATAAGGTGGTGGTGGCGCCGGATCGTAACCGAAGAGCGCAATTGGGTTGGAAGAGTAGGAAGCATTTTGGTTGTTTGGCATTTTGAGAGTAAAATGGTTGTGTTTGGTGTGGATTAAAGAGGTGATATGTGTGTAATTATAGTGTTTTTGGGTAACAAAAAAAAATCAGATTTCTTCCCAACGGTCCCCAAGATGCAACGGTCACCTTTTGGGACGGTAGAAACTCACCAGTGTCATTATGCCGCCGACAAAAATGGTGTTAACGGCCGGTGTTCACCGGCGGTAAAGAGAGCCACGTGGGATTGCCGTCGGGAAAGCCGACGGCAATCCCACTGCCACAACACCGTTTAGCCTTAGTAGGTTGCGGGTTACTTTTTCTAACAAAAATCTCATGAATCTTAAGCACTTTTGCTCCTATACATTTTCAAGAAATATTCATTTTACCTTGACATTTTTTTTCAACCTCAAAATGTTATTAACCTTGTGAAAATTTCATGATTTTGATTTTTTTGTGCAAATTTCCAGCTAATATTTGCAAAATTTTCAATTAACAAAGGAACTTCGTTAATTCGTAGACCTTTTTCATAGAGGAAATGGTGATAAACTCTGAAAATACAGTTCTCATGCTATATTAAGCCACCTTAATAACTCTTAAAAAAAGGCAATTTGAATGCTTTGGGTGACTTTTTCTATTGGGCCTACCCAATTCCAGGGATGGTTATGTTGATGACTTGATGTTATGCACTTCAGTTTATATTCATAATCTTGTTTTGTTGGTCCATAATCAAGTATTTTACTTAACCATTAAACATTAGTATTTCAAGAAACAATTACAGTTCATTTGGTTGAAAACTTAAAAGACGATTTACTCCCTTGTACAAAGATATGAAATAAAAAACAAGATTTCTAAGTTTAGTGGATATGAAAATTAAACATTAAGTATTAGTAGTGAAAATACATATGAATTAGTCGAGGGAGGGTATATCAGCTTTTTGGCCCCTAACAAGTATGCACAAAAGATAACTTGGTCACAACCTTTTTTACTCGTCTTTTTCCACCACTCTTTACAAATGGGCGAACCAAGAGAACAAGAACAAACCCTACGTTTTTCATTTTAATTTTAAACTTTAAATTAACAAATAAACCGTAATTTCACATCGAATTAGTTCTTCGAAGTACTCTTGGTGGCCTTCTCTTCTCCAAAACCGGCACCAGATTCTGCATTAGCTGTTCGTTCCACAACAAATCAATACCAGATAAAAACAGACCATGAGGGCTTTTATGTCTTTTTACACAGTCTCGATGATTCATTATCAAATTTTGATATTTGGGTCAAATTTACTAACTTTTTGAGATTGCATTTCATAATATGGTATTGAGGGTAAACTTTGTGAAAATTGTTAAGGATTAATAAGGTCTTCTCATTTGGGTGACAGTTGAGCTACCAACAAGAGCATTCAAAAGGGGATTTTGAATAAATACATGACAATGATAAAGATAATTAGATAACTATCAAAATCATCACTGTTTGTTTTTTTTCTGAAAAGAAAGAATCTTGAATTGATTTAAAAGGAATCATGATGATGAGTTTGAAAGTAAGTTTTGGTAGGTTTACAAGTTTATAAGGTGTGAAACTAACCTGTTTAAGCCTCTCCTTGTTCAGTTCATCCTGCAAGTAGATTTATCATTCAGAATCTATGAGGATGATGGTCGATGGATAATCAGAAAGTGTATCAGATTTCACATAAAATTATACCACTTCTTTTAACAATTTGGCATGTTCTTCTTCCAATTGAGTTACCAGAGCTTCTAATTCGACTGTGTAAGCCTGGAATTTGTACACAGATTTCAAATCAAAACACTAATACTAGAAAGGAAAAATTAGTTTAGTAGATTAACGAGAAAATTAACCTGCTTTCGCTCCCTGGACCTTGCAGCCGATTCTCTGTTCTTGATCATCCTTCTCTGTTTCTGCTGCGTTGCCTTGTCAACCGGCGGATCTTCCACCACAACCTTCCTCTTACCTCTCCCGCTTGTTCCCGCACTTGTACCAATCGCACTCCCAAATTGCATGTGTTGCTGAGGCATGACTTGAAACGAAGCCCCAGCTCCGGCACCGGCACCGGCACCGCCACATATAATCGGATCAACAACTCCAGAATATTCCGAAATGACCGCCGAGGCAGATACCGGCGGCAATTTCACTACATCCTCCTCCCTAACAGCTCCGGCCTTCGTCAGAAAATCCTCTAGAGTCATCTCTGGATCACCGACACTTCCATCCACGATCTCCTTTAACCTTTCATCCATCGTCTTTCCACCACCAGCACCGGCGGGAAAACTCCCCGGCGCCTGACGCGAATCCTCGTAAATGTTCTTAAGGAGATCGTCCATATTCATTGAAATTAAATTGCTGTTGTGATCGGTGAGACCGAAGGCTTGATGACGTTGTAGATCCTGATTCGCCGGCGATGATGATGCCATCACCTTCGACGACGCCATACAACTAATTCAACCAATTCAAATCGAAAAAAACTAAATCAAATCATCAGGGGTTTATAGTAGGAATAGAGGAATCAGTTGGAAGAGAAGAGTGGAGAGGGTGAAAAGGAGTACGACCGAGAGACTCGCCGGCAGTTCGGAAGTTATACAAATACAGAAACCATTTTTAGAGAGAGAAGGAAACGGAGAGAGAGAAAAATCGACTGTATGGACGGTTATGTCCTCGTTCGGCGGGGGTTAAAGGCTCAAATAATGAGGGTACTTTTGTCATTTTGAACATGTAAGAAAGCCGGCAGGGGATGGTCACGGGTAGATGCGTGTCCAAATTTTCTTTCTATGATTCTATAAAAAGAAAAAATAAATAGTTTGCTGGACTATTTTTTCTTTTAATTTCTTTTACGTTTTTTTTTTGAAAAGCAATTTCATTAAAACCAGAAAATGACAAATTAGTTTCCATCAGAAATAGATAAAGATTAGTAAAATTATCCAAATGACCATATGATTTTTAACTTATGTGAAATGTGGTGGCTTGTAATTTTTTTATAAGATTTTTATAGATGGTTATCGGTGAAAATCTTAGTTTTAGTAATGTCATGAATATTATCTCCAAAATTTTCATTTTATTTAACACATTTTTAACGGAAAATACAACAATTTTTTTTATTAATTCGTATTTAAAAAAAAAAAACCACATGTTACCATATTTCACGAATAACCAAATTAAAACCTTTTAAGTTTAAGAAAATTATAATCGAACAAAAGTAACAACAAAAACATGTGTACTTAGCCAAAGATAGATGCTCATAACCTCATAAAGTCACGCTCCTAAGCTACTTGTACTTAGCCAAAGGCACAAAGTATAAGAAACAAGTGTCAGCTCCTGATGAGTGAGTTAATAGTTGCATATAGTCGTAGGAAAACGCATAATTCCTAAACGAGTCAACAATTCAATTTACGACAAAACAACATTGAACAACAAATACCTCTTACTCACATATATAACACATATAACAACAAATTCATCACGTATCACCAAAAGCATCGCATACCATAAAAAACAATGCATATCACCAAAAGCAATAGATATAACCAAAAACATCACATATCACCAAAAGCAACAAATATCACTAATAGCATCACATATCACAAAAAGCAACAAATATCAACAAAAGCATCACATATCACCAAAACATCACATATCACCAAAAGCATCACACGTCACCAAAAGCATCTTATGATAGGTATGAGTCTCTTTGTGCATCCTATCCCAATGAAACTATCGGGTTCACTACTCGTGTGCCTGCATGTTGAATGCTCTATGTGGCTCATGACTTCCACTCGAAACACCAACCCCATACACCCTTTTCGCTACTACGACTATACGAAACAACCATAACACCTCCCAATCTAACGTGATGTTTGTATTGATCCTCCTTGGTAGGACTACACCAATCCAGTCCTTGAATACAATTGTGACAATACACGTGTACCATGTGTCGCGGGATCTTCAAGATTGACCAGGCGACTTACACCTCAATGGCTTAAGCTCTTTCCTAGGTCCTCTTCCAACCTAATAGGTCACCAAAAGTATCCAGATAAGGTTTAAGGCAAGTGTCATAAACTACCTAACCTACTATGCAACACCCCGTAAAATTTAGCAATTCATCATATTAAGCATGCAGTTTCATACGATCAACCAATATTATCATATTCACCAAATTCATCAACAATTCACCAAAGCGTACCCATATGATCACTTCAATCAAATTTACGCTAGCATACCATAAACATCATAATCATCATAATGGAGTCAAATATCAATTTAGACCCTAAGTATGTAAACTAGAAAACAAGCATATCCGATTAATATCATATTCAAATACAAAACAATGGCTAATTTAGACATAAAGTGAATCAATGATCCGTATATAAAATATACTTTTCGACTTATGCATATCTAGCGAGTAAAACTACTAACTAACCTTAGCCTTGACAAATCCTTTATTAAACTTCAAGTCTCGAGATCCCTTGAAGTTGTCAAGGTCTCACCTAATAACCACACATACCAAGAAATTATCAACTAGAGTCCAGGTTTCAATAACACACTTTAATTCTTAATAAATTATATATTTTTTAAAAGTTTCACAGCCCGACCCCTGCTCAGTGTTTTGAGCATAAAGCAGAATCTACAAATCAAATGAACTGATAACAAACTTTCTAGAAACTAGAATCGATTTCCTACAACTTTGTCACACTAGTGATTTTGTCAAATTCAGACCATAATGGTCTCTACAACTGTAACATTAAGTTCAGGTGAGCCATTTTCATGTTTAAAAATTTTAAGGTTTTAACCCTACTCACGACGTGAGATATGTATGTCACGTTGTGAGGAGGTTAGTACAATCACGCACCACCTTTTGGCTCACAACATGAGCACATATGGCTCATGACGTGAGATCATCCTGAGAGGAAACCCTAAAAATTACAACGTGGGGATGGTAGTCCTCGACTGTTTTGACTTATTAAGTCACGACATTACCATTAGGGGTCACGACGTGACACGTGGATTGTGGGACTTTCGACTGTGGATTGATTTTGACTTTGACCAGGGTTTGACCAAGTTTGACCTAAGGGTATTTTAGGTATTTTGAGTTGTATTTGAGATTGGTCACTATTTGATGAATAGGTGACCGGTAGAGATGATATTCGGAGCAGTGTCCTGTCCAACAATCTTTTCAGACTGAGAAGTGAGTTTTCCTCACTATACTTGTGGGTCGAAGGCACCAAGGCCGACCTACTGGGTTTGATATCCTGGAAATATTGAATGATTTTATGCTGAATATGTAATAGATCTGTATGATTATTTAATGATTGTTGATACGTGTTAGACTGGTAGATCTGTAGGACTACCTGTAATTACTGGCTATATGATTAACTGTCTGCTAAAAATGTTTGTTATATGTTATATATCGACATGGTATGTTTAGGGTTGAGACTGTACTGCTTTGTGCTCCCAGTCAACAAACCGAGGCAATCCCATCGGGAGGTTGTGGGCCAGGGCAATCCAAGTCGGTGGTTGTGGGCCAGGGTAAGCCAATCGGGAGGTTGTGGACCCATCATGTAATATTATATTTGTTATTTGTTTGTGTGGTGGTACTTTGGGGGAACTCACTAAGCTTTGGCTTACGATTTAGTTTTATGTTGTAGGTACTTTAGACGATCGGGGCAAGGCGAAGGCGTGATCGTACACATCCTTCGATGTTTTGTTTTAGAGATTTATGATACATTGATCTTGGGAAATATTTGTATTCTAATACTTGATTTTGAGATGGGTTTGCTTGAAAACAATGATTTCCTTTAAATTAAAAATGAAAATTTTTATCGTGTTTATGGGATGTTATAAGTTGGTATCAGAGCCCTAGTTTTAGAGAATTGGATGAGCGTTCGTGTGAATTCAGACTTAAACTAAGGAAATGTAAAGTTTTCAAAATAATTTCCAAAAATAGTTTTCAAAAGTTGTTTTCAAAATTGTTTTCAAAGGTAACCAGAGAAGGACGCAATGTGTACGATCATCTGGAGCAGAAATTATACCCCAAGTTACCTACACTGTTATTTCCTTATGATGATTATGATAGAACTGCATGCTAGTGCTAGGCTAGGGATCTTCAGGAATTGCCAGATAGAATTGTCTGATGTATGGTGTCTGGTAGCGTAGTGTAGGGATCAAAAGTCTATAGTGAGGAGTCAAATGTACTTTGAGTCTGTAAGATGTCGAAATCAATTTGATTTCGACCCTCTATCTATTTTACAAGGCATAGTTATTTCGACACTTTAATGTTTAGCCTTGTAATTTTTTTGTGAGTCTGATTGTACCCTATAAATAGGGTAGGTACATAGAGTAGAGTAACTTTTAAGCTCAATGTCACTGTATTTTGTACTCTCGAACTCTTGTGTACTCATTCAGACTATATTGAGCCAAACATACATTATTTACATCTTGTGTTCATTTTTAGCTTTGATCATCTTAATTGTGTTCTTAATCAATCGATAAATTACATCAATTGGTATCAGAGCAGGATTCTATCAACCAATTGAAGGATTCTATAAATTACATCAATTTGATTTCGTTGTTAGATTTTTATCTGAGTCAAAAATCCTCTTTCTTCAAAATCCATACAACAATGGTGAATTTTAGCATGAACATAATGACGAATTTCTCTCACTTGCTCGGATCATCAACTAAGATCCCGATGTTGATTCCGGAGTACAATAAGAAATGGGCCTATAGAATGGAAGACTATTTCAATGGCATCGATGAAGATTTGATGCGATCAATCATCAAAGGTCTATTTCTTCCTGAAATGTTGGTTACTCTTGGAACTGATGCTACGAGTGATGATGTGATCACAGAAGGAAAAAAAATGAAGGCGAATGATAAGAAATGTTTACGTGAATTACATGGTGCTCTTCCACCCGTAGTTTACAATTATGTGAGTGGATGTTCAACAGCAAAGCAGATTTGGGACACCTTGAAAGAGAAATATCAAGGTAATGAGAAGACGAAGAAGAGTTATGTAAAACAATGCTTACTTGAGTTGGGAGAATTCAAACAAAAGGACACTGAATCAATCGATTCATACTATGATCGATTGAATGAACTGATTTTCAAATGCTCTCACTATGGAGTTACTCGTTCCATGCTGGAATTCAATCTCACTTTTCTCATGGGACTTCGAAAGGAATGGAGAAACATCAGCTTGATGATCAAGACACAAGAAAGTTTTGATGGTTAATCTCCTGCCAATATGTATAATGTCTTGAAAGCACATGAAAGCGAGATCAATGAAATTGTTGAAGAAAGTAAACTGAGTCTTGGAGGACCATTAACTTTGGTATCGAAAGTTGTTGTTAAAGAATTTGAGTCTGAAGAAGAAGCTAAGGATACAGAAGAAGGATTCCTATTCGACTCTGATGACGAAGTTGTCGGATACTACACGAACAACAAGGTCAAGAAATTTTTCAAGAAGCCTTCCAATGGAAATTTTAAGAAAATGTATGAGAATAAGAGTGTGTATTCGACTGGAACAAGTGTGAAGTATGAGTTGAAAGTTGAGAAGAAGGATGTGAAGGGTTTGTTTGAGAAGAAGAAGGAGTTGAAACTTAAAGGAGACTCAGGTTATAATTATAACTACTCCAGTGGGTCGAATCACTTGGCGAAGGATTGCATGCTCAGGAAGAAGGAGAGAGTTAAGGATGAGGCATATTATGCTGAGAAACTGTAGGAGATTAGATCTCGAACTAAGGGTGTCTCTCTGATAGCTAGAGAAGAGGACAAAGAAGGGGGAACGTATCAAATATGGTCGTCTGGATCAGATAAGGATGAGATGCGCCATCCGACTCATAGGGCCATGTATGCAAAGTTGGAAGAGGACGGAGAAGAAAAAGATGTTTCGAGTAATGAAGATGTGATTACAGGTAGGTGTTTCATGTCCACCGACTCGACAAAATCACCGATGACAGAAAAGTTACGTGATCTTCTAAACTCATTTAAAATCCCTTCATCTTCTTATAATGATGTTTTGTTTGAGTTTGATAATACGTGTTCTTATCTTAATGACATGTTAATCTCCATGAGTAGTGAAGCTGAATAGTTCAAATCCCTTTATTATGAAGCTAAGAATAAATTAGAAGAAAAGAAGGGTGTGATAGAATATCTAGACTTGAGGATTACAAATTTGTCAATTGATAGAGATACTATTCGTATGGACAACGTCATGCTTGTAAAACAACCAAACATATATTGTAATACTCCTAGAAGTTTGTATGCTAAAATAACTGAACTACATCATTCTGCTAAGATTTATAGTGAGTAGCATCGAAAGCTACTTACTTTTCTTGTTTTTAGAAGAGAACACATAGACGAAACCACACATGATTGTATTCACATTAGTCGAAGAGCTACCTTACTCTTCTCATGATGAGTTAAGAGTTTTCTGCTTGGTCAAAATTTTTAGCAGAGGTACAATGAGTTCTTTCACCACATCTTTTTCACCGAAAATTTCTTTCATGATCACACACTACATTACATATCCTCGACATCTCTGGTCGAAACCACCAGAATGTAGATATGTCAAACATCTGTGTTTATGATCCTGAGTCATTCTTCCGTTATGATGGTGAAAGCCGACAAACCTACACTTTCATGAATTGACTGTGAAAAATTTTGTTCAGGATTTTAATGAAACATTTGTTTATGTACCTTTCCGATATTCAAAATCTCATTCCATTAACATTGTGTGATCTTAATAAAATGTTCTAACACTAAGACATTTTTTCCCAAAAAGATCCAGTTATTCATTTTGTTTTTGGAATGAGATTTCCAATTTGAATATCTTTTCTAAACCTTTGTCATTTATTATCATCACCAACCATACTTGTTCTTGACTACACTAGTCATCCAAGTAATTTTGCACAACTGAATCACACTTATGTTAAGTTGTGATCTTGTGTAAAATTGAAGCCGCCTTGCAATCAAAGAAAAAGAAGCCCTTCAATACTCATCAACGAGTATTCGATTGTAATTCACGGGAAAACACACAATCAATTCTTCATTTCTCTTGATGTCGAACGAAGAGATCTTTGCCTGGGATCACTCTGCTTTCGTATCAAAAGAATTTTTGATATCACGAAATCCACACTTTTGTTTTACTTGCTTCTATCTCATTCATTGTCACACTAACGCACTAAAATCCTTGAGGTTTTGGGTATTACCAACTCGTAACTTAGAATTTGCAAAAGTCTGGCATATGATTTCACTTGCAAATCCCAAAAGCGAATGAGCCTAGCCTCCATGCCGAAGGACTGGTCTTACCTTGGTGTCGAAATACATTGAGTACTTGTTTGGTAAAGGAAAAAAGTGACGGTTATTATATGATTGGGAATAGCGAAAGATCTAATGGAAGTGGCAGTTGAGTATTTTCACGAGAATCAAGGAGAAAAGTGATCATTACTTTTATGACGTGGCGATTTTTACGCTGCCGGTTAAGTAACAAACACACCATGCGGCATTTTATTATTGGATACTGGTTCAAATTCAAAAATAACAACAAGTTATAAGAGGAAGATGATAATTTCCTTTTCAATTTTCTAATCTCCGACGGAACCTCAAGAACCCTAACTGTTCAATCGTTCTCAAATTTTCCAAAATTCTCTTCAATGGTTGCTTCTCATCACAATGCTGGACAAACAACCACTAATGACGAGGACATCTCGCAACCTATGATGAAGATTCAAAGCAACAATCTTCGTCTAGTTCCATCACTTGATCAATATCCAGAGGAATTACGGATGCTTGTTCAAACTTTGAACAACTTTGTGTTGTCGTATGCACTTTCTGCAACTTTTGCAATCGCTATGGAATGGATTTCACTTGCTGCTTCAACTACATTCTTCAACAAAACAACTAAGGTTGTTACGTTTCAGCTATCGAGTTCAAAGACCAAGAAGCTCACAAGGAAACAATTTGCCCAAATTCTGCAGTTACTAGTCTCAGGTACCTTCAACGAAGTCACAAATGATCAAGTCATTCATATGTTTAATGAAATGGGGCATCAACCAACCCTAACTGATATTAGTCATTTCAAGAAGTTTGGTCTTCCTTGTATTTGGAGTTTTTTTTTTGGGATAGTGCTGAGATGCTTGACAGGTCGAAGCTATGGGCTCGACAAAGCCAAGCTTGAAGTTTACTTAGTAATGGCGGGATTGTACTATGGTCTAGATGCTGACTATGCATCCCTTCTATGGGAAGAGTTTGGAACCTCTATTTCTCATACCAAGCTCGCAACTGGTGTATCAAGTGCTCGATTTCGGGGCTTAATTCTCCATGAGGTTTATTCTCAAGAGCACATTCTTGTTCCATCTGGTGTCGAAATAGTTGAGTTTCCGATAATGGCTACTCTAAGGATTTTTGTAGATGATTCTAATGTTTTTCCAGATGTTGCTCGTATTCCCGATTCAATGCTCAAGCTAGTGGATTCCAACCATTAGCTGTTGATACAATATTTGGCTTCAATCGATTCTTCAACTCAAACTGGGGTTCTTCCACCCAAGGCATCTCAGAATGGGGTAGAAGGAACTTCTAAAGGAACTTAGGCTCCAAAGAAGAAGAAAATAGTCAAACAGATACAAGTGGTGGAGGAGGGAATTGTGAAAGAAACTATTCCATATATGTCTGGTGTTCTTAAGCGAACTAAGAAACAAACTAAGAAACCATCTCATTCACCGATCAAGGCTACTTATCATGAGCCAGTAGTCGAAAGCATTGAACTAGTAGTCGAATCTGTTCAACCACTTGTTGTCGAACCCTCAAGCGTTGTTTCTTTTAAGGGTGGTTCGAATAAAGTAATAAAGCCTTATTTTACAAGGATGGGTGTTTTGTTTCATGAAGTTTTGGCTCCTGGATCCCCAGCCTCAAAGAAACGTCAAACTATGGACATGGCTAGAAAGTTAAAGAAGAGAAGACTTGAACCCACTGCTCAAACTGAGAATGTGACAGTAGAAACCGAGCATGACACTGAAAGCAAAAGGCTTGAAGTTTGCATTGAGGATTCCTTTATTGGTTCACCACGAAGAGATACCTCTTTCAAATCGATTTTCGAGGAGACAAGTATTCCCAATGTCACTGTACACATATCTAATACAGATGCAAATCACAAAAAACTATCCTTGAGAAGACCTTGGTCATACTATCCGAAGTTTCGAATACCGAATCTCGTAGGGAGGACTTCTAAATTCCAGACATCCCTGTGGACTTATCTAATAAGGACGTAAATGTTAACATGGATGAGGGGATAAGTTCTGTTAAAACCTCTGTGGCAACTTCTACAGCTTTACCACCACCATCATCACCCATTCCCATTTTTGTTCCTATTTTGATTGTATCACCTACATTCATTGGTGTCATGCAAGTACCTATCACCACTCTCTTCCCATCTCAATCAAACAAAAGTCACAACTAGAAAACAAAGATGATGATGATGATATCATGGTTTTGTTTGCTGATCTCCAATTCAACCCTGAAGAAGAAAATATTCCTGATGATCTCATTATGTCAGGTGAGGAATTCAAAATTCTCAACTCCAAACTTAATTATCTTCTTCAAGTTACCGCAGATACTAGAGGCAAGAACTATGTGACCGGAGTAGAAATGGAATACTTGATGAAAGCTCAAGAATCTCGTCTGATAAACTTAATTGAGGGAATTGAGCAGAAACAAAGTGAAAAACTAGTTTTTCATTCCAGCGGGTATGATAGTGAAATTCAGAAGCTTCGTGATGATGCTAAGGCACATCATGAACTTTTCATTGTGAACGTTAATGAGATAAAGGAGTCTCTTGATGTCAAGGTTGACGAGATCAAATCCTGGATGTCCGACGAAGTCAAAAGGATAGACAAAAATTACAAAGAGTTGCAAGGAAAATTTGATGTTCTTGCTGGTGCACTTACTCGATTGGTTGATTTCACCACTAAGTACACAAAACAGCTTGAAGCCAAGTCAGAAAAGAATGCAAAGAGGTTTGAAAAGATAGAGAAATTTCTATCGAGTATAAAGGAAACTTTGTCAAAGGTTGATCTTTCGAATCAATCATCTATCTCTCTATAATCCCTATCTCATATGGTTTCGACTATTGAGTCGAACATCAAGATTGAGCTCGCTCCAATCCGAAATTTGGTACTACGTTTATCAACCAATGTTCCTCGTGTTGTGTAAGTCTCGAGTTGGAGGACCTGGATCTTCTAAAGACTCTGATGAAATGGGAGTAGTAGTTGGGAAAGTCATTTCGACTCAAATTCCAACTTTAATTCCCATGAAGAAGATAACTGTTTCTTCGACAACAGTGACTACAACAACACATGTGTCGAAAGCCCCAACAAAAGGAATTTCGATTAGGGAAGGAGAAGGAGGTTCTAGTAACACTTAATTCAAAACATCTTCATCAACTGACTCGAAAGATAAAGGGAAGATCATCCTGATTGAACAATTAGATGAAGAAATGAAAAAACAACATGCTGAAGATACTGAATGACAAAGGCAAATAAATAGCATTCTTCGTCAAAGGGAGAATGATCCACCAGGCCTAACAAAGGTGACCCGAATAGACACTGGTGTTATAAAACGACTGAAATCGCAGTGCTGGGGCAGAATGATGAATTCCTTAAAAGGTCGAAGAAAATCTTTGAAATTGAATATTCAGACTTCAATCAACTCGATTTTCCCATTAATCACATGTTGTTTACATCAACACATTTCAAAGTAGCAAATAATTTCAAAGATAAAAATGAATTCAGAAACGTGAAGATTCGTTTTCATGCTATCTTGGGGAAAAATGAAGATGATGTATGGTCACTAGTGAAAATAGTGAAAGTGATGAAGATTGAAAGGGATACCTTATTTGAGGTTCTGCTTCAAAATTTATGATATTCAGTTGTGAAAGCCAATAATGTGGAGTTCAATTTCAAAATCACTGATTTTCCTCTGATGAACCTGAATGATCTTATTTCGATTACCAAGATTCTGATCAATGTGGATGTGTCGAAGATCCCTGAATCAAATCGAAATGATTTCATGATTGGATTTGGTCACATCAAATCTTTTCTAGAAAGTTACTTCGAATATCTAGCCATTATTGATAATGATCTTGCCTCGACCATCCAGAGAATGCGAAAGTGCCACAAACTCTTGTAAAGGCTAAGTTGAACATCAACAAATTTGAAGACGGTGAAATTATCTATCAACCTTACAAAGTGGTTTTTCAAGGAACGAACAAGAGGGGGAATTTCACAAAGTTTTTATTTCAACTCAATGATCTTGAAAGATATACAAATTCACATTTCACCAACATCCTGATTCGAATTAACAACTGTAAGAAGAATGATGTCGAAGACAAGGCAGAGATAAAGAAGATTCTTTTGTGGTACATGGAATTTTGATGGGAGCTTCTACAAGCTATGAAGTTAATTGCTTGATATTCGACTACTCTCACTAAGGGGGAGATTGTAGGGGTCAAAAGTCTATAGTGAGGAGTTGAATGTACTTTGAGTATGTAAGGTGTCGAAATCAGTTTGATTTCGACACTCTATCTATTTTACAAGGCATAGTTATTTCGAAGAATTATCTGGTCTAGGCCAATTGCGCAGCTCTTGTCTGAGTCCAACCGTTATAGGGTAGGACCTCTCATTCGAAGAATTATCTGGTCTTAGTGGTATGTAATGTTATTCGCGAGCTAATTAGGTAAAGGTAACTGGGATTCCTTATGTAGCTGATGGCGGAGAGTAGGCCGGGGAGATTTCCCTAGGGCAAGCCTACGAAGAGAATTAGTGCTGAGAGCAGCCGTAGTAGAAGGGACTTGGTGAAGTCGAAGCAATCCTGGAGGAAAGTACGGATAGATGTGGAAGGTAGTATGGGCCCGTACTACTGAAAGCAGAGGATCCATACTCGAGTCAAGGAGGGCTAAGATGGACTCAGGGAACTGTAGAGTACATGAGACTTCCCGAGAGTTATGTATGATTCTGACGATTATGTGTTCTGTTTTAGAATGGTGGTGACAACGCGTCACGGAGGAGGATCAGGTTCAGGATCCAGTTCAGGATCAGGTTCGGGATCAGGTGCCGAGCCAGTTGATGAGGGGCTACGTGAGTTTATTACTTTGGAGATCACTAGAGGCATCCTTGATTCGACCCCGATGATTTTCGGGTCGATCATGGAAGGGATCGTTGAGCTGATGGAGGATCGTCTCAGGGCGTTTAGGAGTGACTGGGCGGCTAGCCAATCAGGGTCGCGCACACTGTCCTTTAAGGAATTCAAGGGGAGTGGTGCACCGGATTTCCATGGGGCGAAGGACCCCATTGCGGCCAGGAGGTGGATTGCAGACATCGAGTCTGCACAGTTGACGAGCTTCTGCCCTGAGGGGTTGAAGGTTCGATATGCTGCAGGATGTTTGAGGGGCAGGGCTAGGGATTGGTGGGAGTCAGTTGGTGATTCCTTAGGAGCCTCAGCTGTTGAGGCTATGACCTGGTCGGACTTTGTGACCAGGTTCAGGTCTGAGTTTGCGTCAGCTGTGGAGCTTCAGCAGTTGGCCAGGGAGTTTCTTGATATGAGGCAGACGACTGAGTCAGTGGTGGAGATCACTGCCAAGTTCTGGGAGAGGGCCTTATTGGTGCCTCAGTATGCAAGGGATGAGGAGATGCGGAGCACCCGCTATCATGACATGTTGAGAGTTGATATTCGGGAGCATGCCAGCTTCTCAGCATGTCCGACCCAGGATTCTATGATTGCCAGGGCGAGGGAGAGGGAGATTGATTTGGAGCACATCAGGAAGAGGAAGGCAGAGGAGGGACAGATTACTGGGGCTTCGGGGAAGAAGCCCAAGGGATCCGACGCTAGGCCGAAGGGCCAGCCAGGCCAGAGCCACTGCAGGAAATGCGGAAGGCTGCATAAGGGAGCTTGTAGACTGGGATCGTCGGGCTGCTACAAGTGCGGCAAGACGGGGCACTTCAGCAGGGATTGTACCGCCCCTGTGCTCACTTTCCAGATATTGGAGTTGTTGTTTACTGGGGCTTCGGGGAAGAAGCCCAAGGGATCCGACGCTAGGCCGAAGGGCCAGCCGGGCCAGAGCCGCTGCAGGAAATGCGGAAGGCCGCATGAGGGAGCTAGTAGACTGGGATCGTCGGGCTGCTACAAGTGCGGCAAGACGGGGCACTTCAGCAGGGATTGTACCGCCCATGTGCTCACTTTCCAGATATTGGAGTTGCTGTGTTTCCACTGTAACCAGCAAGGCCATAAAAAGGCCAATTGCCCTCAGTTGACAGCAGCATCGCCAGTGGCGGCGCCAGCTCCAGTGACCCTGTGGATTACTGATGGCCGGCAGGGCAAGACAGAGGCTCCAATGGCAAGGATCCGAGCCTTCCAGTTGACCACCGAGGAGGCACGCGCCGCACCCGATGTGGTGACGGGTATGATTTCTTCTCCCTAGCTTTTATTATATGTTGTTTATGATATTGATATGTCATGTTGTATGTTGTTTAGGATCGTTTCATGTGAACTGTATCCTAGTACAGGTGTTGTTCGATTCAGGTGCCACTCGATCATTTGTTTCTCATGCACTTAGCAAGAGGTTCCCTGAGTCTTCGGGCATGTTGGATTGCCCTCTAGAGGTCGAGATTTCCGATGACCGATCAGTGCAAGCGTCAGCGGTTTTCAGAGATTGTGTTCTGAGGCTATTCGAGGAGCGCTACCTGGTAGAATTGGTTCCCATTCCGTTGCATGGGAACAAGGTGATTATAGGCATGGATTGGTTGAGCCCCAACGGGGCAGTGATCGACTGCGCAACAGTTGGTTCGGATCAGGAACCCGAGTGGAGGAGAGCTGGTGATTTAGGGCGTGAGGCCACAGCACGAACCAGCCTTATGTTCAGCAGCGAGGGCTAGGCGCTATCTACAGCAGTGTTGCACTGGGTATGTCGCCTATGTTATGGATACCTGGGAGAAGAGTAAGGCGACGGTGAGCGATGTTCCGGTGGTGTGAGATTACGTGGATGTATTCCCAGAGGAGCTGCCTGGGATACCTCCGGAGCGGTAGGTGGAGTTCAGGATCGACCTAGTCCCTGGTGCGGCTCCGATAGCCAAGGCACCATATCGGTTGGCTCCTCCCAAGATGCAAGAGTTGTCTATGCAGCTGGAGGAGCTGTTAGACAAGGGATTTATCAGGCCGAGTAGCTCGCCTTGGGGAGACCCGATCCTGTTTTTCAAGAAGAAGGACGGGTCGCATCGCATGTGCATAGATTGCCGGGAGCTGTACAAGGTAACGGTGAAGAACCGTTACCCACTCCCGAGGATAGACGACTTGTTTGATCAGCTTCAGGGAGCATCTTGGTTCTCCAAGATAGATCTACGGTCAGGATACCACCAGATGAGGGTTAGAGAGGAGGATGTACATAAGCCTGCTTTTCGAACTCGGTATGGCCTTTACAAGTTCGTGGTGATGCCCTTCGGGCTCACCAATTCTCCTGCAGCGTTCATGGATCTCATGAACCGCATATGCAGGCCGATGCTGGATCGGTCTGTGATAGTTTTCGTTGACGACATCTTGGTTTATTCCAAGATGCAGGAGCAGCATGAAGAGCACTTGCGAGAGGTGTTAGATACCCTGAGGAGGGAGAGCTTGTATGCCAAGTTCTCCAAGTGCGAGTTCTGGTTGCACGAGGTGTAGTTTCTTGGGCACCTTTTCAACCAGAACGGGATATTGGTTGACCCGGCCAAGGTGGAGGCCGTGATGAGATGGGAGGTTCCGAAGTCTCCATCTGAGATTCAGAGTTTCCTGGGATTAGCCGGCTACTATCGGAGATTCATCCAGGATTTCTCCAAGATAGTCGTACCCGTGACCCGACTGACGAAGAAGGCCATTGTATTTCGTTGGGGGCCTGAGCAGAAGGCCGCATTTGAGATGCTGAGACAGAGATTGTGCGAGGCGCCAATCTTAGCCCTGCCTGAGGGTGTGGATATTTTGTGGTGTATTGCGATGCGTCCATCTCGGGTTTGGGTGCGGTGTTGATGCAGAGGGGGCATGTTATCGCCTAAGCTCGAAGCAGCTGAAGCCTCATCAGG